TGTGTGTGTTTTCATCATTTTTGAAGACTAGGTATCTCATCCCATAATCCAGCACTTGTAGCTTCTGAAGGAAATATAAGGGAAGCTCCCTTTCAGATCTGGGATGGCTGTTGTACACAGAAGTCTTGTTGATCATGGAAGTTAGTCTGAAGGAAATATAAGGGAAGCTCCCTTTCAGATCTGGGATGGCTGTTGTATACAGAAGTCTTGTTGATCAGATGGAAGTTAGCTCTGCTCATCCCTTTTGGGTAGTAATGTTTTAATCCTAGACTCTGTAGTAATCTCAGAAAGGCTGTATCTTCTATGACTTCCCATTTGGTATTTCTATTATCATGTGGTTCATAGGATTGTTTCTTTTTAGGGAAATTGCTTTGCAAGTTTTTTCCTATCTCATCTATTTGCAAAGAGGAGATGGTATCTTCATAATTACCATCAATGAGCAATCTCAAGTCTTCCTCTAAGTTTTTCCAATCATGATCTGCTCCTGATTTGGAGAGGACATGTGCAACTTCCTTTGATAAATATTGATCCAGGTGATGGCTTATTAATACCAAACGCTGTATTTTCTCCTCCGGCGAAACATCTGTGAGTCCACTGGTAGCTGTAAGACCTGTGAGCACTAGGAATGCCTGAGCTCTGTAGGTGCAAATATTTTTGAGTTCCTGGTATTTATCTTGTGCAGTTTGCATTGTATCCAGTAGGAAGTCTAACTCATGAAACCCAAGAGGAGACTGAAACTTATTGTTTACCACATGATATCCTGCACCAGCTGCAATGCAAAGTAGCAAGAGATGTGTGTCTGGCTCTGTTTCTTGGAGGTAATTCAAGAAGCAGCCAAGAGACAAACTGACCTCACAAGAGGCCTTTCTCTGAGCTTCCATTCACTCTTTAAATGTGAGGATCCAAAAGGCTGCACAACTGAGATTTAATAAACTTAGTTACACAGATGGAAGACTTTTTGCAAAAGTTAACAGTGTTTATCAGAAAATTCTGCAGACCCCAGTCTGTGAGGCATATGTTAACCCAAGCGTCATAACTTTTTATTTTTTGCCTCAACGTTTGCATGAAATTTATCAGTTTTTTAAGCTGGCTTTTAGGATCAGATACCTCCCAAGATTTCACATCCTCTAGGAAAACCTTAGCCTCCTTTTCAACACTCAGTAAGTCTTCTCCATCCTGGGTCTGGGCAGTGATGCCAGTCAGAGCAGTGTAGCTATCCTTCAGTAAGCTAGCCACCTGAAATGGATCCTTAAAATCACTTCTGTGGTTGGAGAGGATGATGTCCCAAATGGGCACAAGCTGAAGGCCCCGGTCTATGACACTCCAGGTTTGATTACTGGCAACTAGGCCAGCTTTCCACTGGAGAAAGCCATTTGCTTCTGGTGGGCCACCTGTCTGAGCCACAGATAATTGGACTTTGGTTTGGAGATTTTGGAAGGTTGTGCTTTGGGTGGCAGTTTCTGAATGAGAGTCAGACCCGTCCACACCTGCAGCAACTTTCACTCCAAAGCCACTGTAACTTCCCTTTATGAACCTGTTTAGGATCTCTGCTGACTGTTCCAGCTGCTCACTCTGGAAACCCTCTGAAGTGGCTTTCCACCAGTAGATTCCTCCAAAGTGCAAAGGGCCCTGGTTAGCATGAGAGCCAAACCTGTGGAAGAAAGCTTCAGTCCTGCCCCTTAGCAAGGGGAGTCTGTCTGGATCTGCAGGCTCACACAGAAGGTCATCAATGCATTTCAGTTCCTGGAGAGCCGCCTTGGAGAACTGGAGCTGATCCATGGGAAAGTGGCAGGAGGCAAGTGGGACATAGCTGAGCTTGGTAGAGCAGAAATAGGAGTGCTCAGGATGTGACTGTTGGGTTTCCTTGGATTCTGAATGTTTGCCGTGGTCCACATCAGCTTCCAAGCAAAATCCCCAACCTCCACCCTTGCTTGATGTAGTTACACCAAACCCCAGCTTCTCTATCATCTTGGTGAACATGGATTCTGCTTGAGAAGATGTAAATCCCCAGGTACCCATTCGTGTGCTGTGCTCAGGGCCAAAGAGTAAGAACTCCTGGGGAACACTGAGTAGCTCTTCTCTCTTCTCTAGAAGGCTCCTGTGGGAGCTGGTTTTGTAAATTCCCTGCAAGGCCAGCCCTCCAGATGCCCATCTCACCAGATTTCTATCTGGGAGGTTTTGCCTATGAGACAGTGTCCTCTCATTGAGCTTGAGTTTTCCCTCCATGTTTTCCAAGACTTCTTGTATGGATTTTTCGAGGGGTCGCCTATTCTTATTGGGGAGCTCCACTGCCCACCTCAGGTCTGTCTTTTCCCCTCTCACTGCCTCTTGTTGTTGTTGCCTCTCTTCTGATTTGAAATATCTTTGCTCCTTCCACATTTGCTTTTCCTTCTTCTTCTTTTTCTTTATCATTTTCCCCTGAGACTCCTGTAACTCTGAAAAGCTAGGTGAGTGTGACAGCTTGAGTAGCTTCTCCAGAGCCCTTTTCTCCCAGGAATGTTTTGCCTGGGATTTGAGTTTCTGGAGTTCTCTTTCTTCTACATGTTGTAAGGCCTGGGCACAGCTCACACCAAGGTGTTTCTGCAGCTTTGGCAACCAGTACTCAATGTCCAGTCCTACTTCTCTCAGCATCTCTTGGAGGTCTTGCCTTCTTTTCCCTTTGAGAAGGGGCCCATCAGAGGGGGACTTTGATGGGTCCATGTCTGTGGACAGAAAAGACAGTTAGTCCTTGGAAGTGTCATCCACATGTCAAAAAATTTGGGAGTATTAACACGCAAGTCTTTGAGGCTTTCTCCTCCATTTCTTTCATTGTTCCAACAAGTATATTATTGTTTAAATTTTTTCAGTGTGTGTGTGTGTGTGTGTGTGTGTGTATACAAGATATCTTTGTGGGTGTTCTCAACATATACAGCTATTTAGTTGCTGGGTGAGTTGCAACTTAATAGTCTGGATTTTGGCACTTTGTATTCCACAAAATCAATTGTAGGGAGAGCATTGTGTGAAGGTTGCCATTTGTACCTACTTTGGTAGCTTGATATTTATTTTAAAGAGGGATAACACCAGTTATTATTCCTCATGTTGTTTCTATCAAACCTGTGTTGAAATGTTTCCTACCTGTCTCTGTCACTTCTTATGCCATTTAATGATATTCATGTACTCTCCTGTATTTTATTTTTTTAAAAAATATTGTTAGTGATTTCAGAGAGAAAGGGAGAGAGAGAGTTAGAAACAGCAATGAAAATCATTGATGGGCTACCTCCTGCAGACCCCCACTGGGGATCAAGCCCACAACCCGGGCATGCACACTTGACTGGAATTGAACCTGGGATCTTTCAGTTCTCAGGCTGACTCTCTATCCACTGAGCCAAACCAGCTAGGGCAACTCTTCTGTCTTTTAAAATTGTTGATATTATTACATACGTTCCCCATTTTACCCCTTTGCCTCCATCTACCCAGCCCATACCCCACCCCAGATTTTTAAAACACTATCACACTATGGTGGGGGTACTGGATGAAAGAAGGTGAGGAAATTATTGAAAGAACATATATATATATATATATCGCCCATGAACACAGACAACAGTGAAATGGTGGCCAGAGGAATGAGGGGGAAAGGCTGGGTGGAGGTTTGCAAAGTGTGTGTGTGTGCAGGGGCAGATGGAGGACATCAGTAATAATATCAACAATAAAAATGAAGTAAAATAAATGCAGAAAATCACCAATTTACAAAGGTAGGCAGAAAGAGAAGGAAAAAAATTAAAAAACTAGAAAGCAATGAATAAGATGGCATTATTCAGTTCTTACAAATTAATAATTTCTCTAAATCTAAACAGACAGAATTCATCAAGCAAAAGTCACAGAGTAAGTAGATGATCTAATATAACAAGACACAATTAGACATTAAAAATGGCAGTGGAGCAAGTGGATGCTACACAGAAATGCTCCCAGTACCAAAATGGATTACATCTAAAAGACAAGAACAAAAAACAAACAAACAAACAAACAAAAAATCACACACCATCTTGAATTATCAAATGAAGACTCTTGTGGAGAAAACCATGATAACCAAGGCCAGAAAGTGGAGACTGCATAGAGACCAGTAGGAAGGGCACAGACATGAGATGGATGGTTGGCTTCCCACAGACAGCAGCTGAAGTTCCAGAGAGATATCTCAACTGTGAGGGGTGCCACTGAAAACTCTGGGGTCTAAACTACAAGCTGGAAACCCTAGCAGAGAGCACCAGAACTGAGAAAGGTGCCCACATAACATCTGGCTGTGTAAAGCAGCATGGTTGCTGTCTGCCAGGGAGAGATAGCTAGAAATGCAGGCACCCTTTTAAAGTGCCAACACAAAACTTTTGTGTGCATCCTTAAGCTCTGGCAGAGGGAGTACAGAGTGGACTGGAGTTGTGTGAAGAGAAGCCAGGGTTTGGGACTCTGGAGTTAGAGCTTTGAGGGCAGACACCCTGGTTTCCTGAGCTGAGTCGTTTCCTCACGCTGTGGAGGACATCTTTCTCAGGCAGATCTTTACTATCCAGGAAGTTTTTGCCTTGGAAGAAGCAGTTACTTCACCCAATTGGAAAACCCCTTGCCCCACCCTGTGGAATTCCTGAGGCCCATTAAGAGACTGAGAATAACAATTAGCCTCCAGGCAGAAGCAATTGCCCTGTCTTGTTGGAAAACCTCTGGCCCACCTGTGGATAATTATCTTAAACTACTCAAGACTGAATCTAATCAGTCTGCAGGCAGAGGTGGGTCTCTGGAGGCTTTGAGTCTTTGCCATTCTAATTAGTCAGAAAAAGCATTTGACACTGTCCTGCACTAGAAATTGGGAGCCATGGCAGATTTACCTACTACATAGGCACAAACCCAAACAGGCAGCCAAAATGGGGAGACAAAAACAACAACACCCAAATGAAAGAACAAGAGAATTCTCCAAAAGAAGAGCTAAATGAAATGGAGATAACAAACTTATGAAAATTTTAAAAAATAAATTTATCAAACATGGAGTTCAGGATAATGATGGCAAAGACACTCAACAGATTGAGAAATGATATAGTAAGTATGAAGAAAGACATAGCACTAATAAAGAACACAATGGAAGGAATACACAGCAGATTAGGGGAAGCTGAGAATCGCATTACTATTAGAAGATAGGGTAGAAAAAATCCTGCAATTAGAGAACCAAAAAGAAAAAACAAAAAAAATAGGAGGACAGTGTAAGGGAGCTGTGGGAAACATAAAACGTAACAATATTTGCATAATAGGTGTGCCAGAAGGGGAAGAAAGTGAGCAAGAGATAGAGAATGTGTTTGAAGAAATAATGGCAGAAAACTCCCCTAAACTGGTGAAGTTAAAAGTCATACAAGTCCAAAAGGAACAGAGAGTCCCAAGGAAGAAGAACTTAAACAAGCCCATGTACAGACACACAATACTTAAAGTGCTAAAAGTAAAGACAAAGAGAAAATCTTAAAGGCAGCAAGAGAAAAGCAAACTGTTACTATAAAGGAGCTCCCATAAGGCTGTCAGCCGATTTTTCTATCAGAATCTCTATAGGCCAGAAAAGAATGGCATGAAATACTCAAGATAATGGAAAGCAAGGATCTGAAACCAAGATTACTATATTGAGTAAGGCTATAATTAGAAATAGATAGTGAAATAAAGAGCTTCTCAGACAAAAGACCAAAGGAGTTTATCACCAGCAAATGAACATTGCAAGAAATGCTAAAGGGACTCCTGTAATGAGAAGAGGAAATAGAGAGAAACATAGGCATACAGAATTAAAATGACAATAAATAAGTACCAATCAATAATAACCTTAGGTGTAAATGGATTAAATGCTTCAATCAAAAGACATAGGGTATCTGAATGGATACAAAAGCATGACCCAACTATATGCTGTCTACAATAAACCCACCTCATAACAAAAGATTCACACAGGATGAGAGTGAAGGGATGCAAAAAAGTTTCCATGCAAATGGAAACAAAAAAAGCTGGTGTAGCAATACTTACATCTGACAAAATGTACTTCAAAATGAAGGCCATCATGATAGACAACAAAGGTCACTACATAATACTAAAGGGGTCAATCTAACAAGAAGATATATCCCTGGCAAATATATACACACCCAATATATATATCTTATATAATAAAGAGCTAATATGCTAATTAGGCCAAACAGCAGAATGACCGTCCGGACATCCTTCCGGCCAACTGTCTGGACGACCTTCCAGATGCTGCCAGGGCTGCGAGGGCCAAGCCCCTTGCATGAATTTAATGCATTGGGCCTCTAGAATATATATATATTCTAGAGGACTTTAAAAGGGAGATAGACAACAGTATGGTCATAGTATGGGACTTTAACACCTCACTGACTTCACTGGATAGATCTTCCAGACAATATTTAGCAAGGAAACAGTGACTCTAAATGACATACTGGATTAGATGGTTCAAAAGAACATTTCACCCCAAAGCTGCAAAATATACATTCTTCTTGAGTGCACATGGATCATTCAGAAAGATAGACCATATGTTAGGACAGAAAAAAAGTCTCTATAAGTGCAAGAAAATTGAAATCATATGAAACAGATCACAAGAAATGAAAATAGAAATCAACTACAGTATAAACACTCAAAAACATTTAAACACACGGAGGTTAAATAGTATATTATTCAACAATGAAATCTAGAAAGTAAAATCATTACCTGGAAAAAAATTAAAATGAACACACAACAACCCCAAATCTCTGGGACACATCAAAAGCAGTCCTAACAGGGAAGTTCATAGCACTAAAGGCCTTCCTCAAAAAATAAGAAAAACTAATAATAAACTATTCAACCTTACAACTTAAAGAATTAGAAAGGGAACAACAAGAAAAGGAAGGAAATATTAAAGATTACAGCAGAAATAAATGACATAGAGACTAAAATAACAATACAAAAAATCAATGAAATCAAGAGCTAGATGCTTTGAAAAGATAAACAAGATTGATGAACCATTAGCCAGAATCATCAAGAAACAAACAGAGAGAGGATCCAAATAAATGGAATCAGAAACAAAAATGGAGAGTAACCATCGACACCACAGAAATACAAAGGATTATAAGAAAATACTATGAACAACTATATGCCAACAAGCTGGACAATGTGGACGAAACAGACAAATTCCTAGAAAAATACAATCTCCCAAAACTGAATCAGGAAGAATCAGAAAACCTGAATATGCCAATAACAACTGAGGAAATAGAAGCAGTAATTAAAAAAAAAAACTCCCAGCAAACAAAAACCCTGAACTGGATGGCTTCACAGGGGAGTTTTATGAAACATTCAAGACGGAGGTTAAATAGTATATTATTCAACAATGAAATCTAGAAAGTAAAATCATTACCTGGAAAAAAATTAAAATGAACACACAACAACCCCAAATCTCTGGGACACATCAAAAGCAGTCCTAACAGGGAAGTTCATAGCACTAAAGGCCTTCCTCAAAAAATAAGAAAAACTAATAATAAACTATTCAACCTTACAACTTAAAGAATTAGAAAGGGAACAACAAGAAAAGGAAGGAAATATTAAAGATTACAGCAGAAATAAATGACATAGAGACTAAAATAACAATACAAAAAAATCAATGAAACCAAGAGCTGGTTCTTTTAAAAGATAAACAAGATTGATGAACCATTAGCCAGACTCATCCAGAAAG